CCTTCCAAAAAGATAATTGCAATGGCCAGAGGGTAATTTTTTCCAGTTTTATTGAGATGTAACTGATGCATAACATTATGTAAGTTTAAGGTATAGAATGTGATGATTTGATAAAGATATATATTGCAGAATGATTACCACGGTAAAAGGTTAGTTGACATATCCATCACCTCACATAATTGCTTTTTTTGTATGGTGGGAATATTTAAGATTTACTCTCTTAGCAGCTTTTAAGTATCATGTCTAACAGTAGAGGATTCATTTGAATGAATTTTGTATTAAAACAGTAGTAATCAGTCTCTGAGCATTATGCTACAGAGAGAAGCATTTGATAAAGACAAAAAATGTTTCATATGTGTGATATACATTAAAACAAACTGAAAGAATATACAATAAAGTGTTAACTATATTAACTATGGTTGTCTTTAATTTCTGTGTGGGGGGTATGTGTGTGTATGTGTGCACTTTCCTATATTTTCTGATTCTTCTCTATTTGTGTATTTAGGAAATAATTTTTTATGTCAGAACAATTATATCAAAACAAGTGTCATTTACTTAGGTATAGAATACCAGGAAGACCTGATTTAAGAACACTTTGTATTAAAAAAAAAATCAAACACTCAAAATCTTTAAAAAAAAACCAAAATCTTTAAAAAAAAAAAATCAAACACTCATGTAAGCCAACCACGCGTTGTAGTTGGCAGCATGGATTTGCGATCTTAGGCTGCCGTAATAGATGTACACATGCGGATCAGAGAAGGAAGGGACCCTGCTGGGATCTGCAGATCCTGCCTTCCCCCTCCTTCCCTTGCTCTCTTATCCGCAAGCTGTGGTCTTTATCCCCTTGAGTCCCGCCAGTCAAGTTCAGACTTTCCCGTTCCTTCTCTGTAAGTTCCCTTTTATCTTCTCCTTTGCTGACTTGAGTACCAGGTGAGGTCCTTACATCTTTTCTCTGCCACCATTCTTTTTTAAAATTATGTTTTGCTTAGGGGCACCTGGGTGGCTCAGTCGTTAAGCGTCTGCCTTCGGCTCAGGTCGTGATCCCAGGGTCCTGGGATCGAGCCTCACATCGGGCTCCCTGCTCAGCAGGAAGCCTGCTTCTCCTTCTCCCACTCTCCCTGCTTGTGTTCCTTCTCTCTCTCTCTGTCAAATAAATAAATAAAATCTTCAAAAAAAATATAAAATTATGTTTTGCTTAAAGGAAGCTACTTTATATGGGGGCTGGGAAAGGAAGGACTATAAGAATGGCACCTTTGAGGGGTTAGCACACAAATCCAAACAGTGTGGTCTGATAGTTGGTAACCCTGAAGAAACAGCTACTTTTCTGTGACCAGGGGGTGGGGGTGCGGGGTTGGAGGGTGGGGAGGGGCAGAGGGAGACAGAGAATCCCTGACTGTAGGGCTCGTTCTCATGACCCTGAGATCATGACCTGAGCCGGAATCCAGAGTCCGATGCTCAACCGACTGAGTCACCCAGGTACCCCAGTTGATGGTGTTTTAATAGAGGGAATTAAATAAGAATTTTGATGGTACCTGAAAAGATACCTTAAATGGCTTACTTTGAAGTGCTTTAGGCAGTTTCTAGCTAACATTGACATATGAATTATCTAAAAATAACTGTGAGTTTCAGATTTCCATTGAGGGTAACTAGGGGCCAGCAACAGGACACAGTGGTTTAACTGGCCCATGTCTATCGCCTGCCGAGCACAGAGTTTGTATGGAAAATTGTGTGCCAGCCACTCACTCCTGTATGGGCCACGCTAATGGGCATAGCCTGACACTGTGCAGAAGTGACCGAATGTGTGGAAAGCAGAGAGACGTATGGAGCACTCCAGGGGGATCTCTGAGAGTGAGATGGAGGAAGAGCACTGACAGCAGCTGGTGAGACTGCATGTTTCTACTATTACTTTCCACTTTGGGGACCCTGGCTCTAGATAGATGCTTGAGTTTGGCAAAATCCTTGATAACTAAATCATTTTCAATTGGCAAAGCTCTTAGAGCTGTGATTTGTGGCAAAAATACAGATTCTAAGGGCTACATGCACCCCGATGTTTATAGCAGCATTATCAACAATAGCCAAACTGGAGAGAACCCAAATGTCCATCGACTGATGAATGGATAAAGATGTGATATCTATCTATCATCTATCTATCTATCTATCATCTATTTTTATTTATATTTATACACACACACACACAATAGAATATTACCCAGCCATCAAACAGAATGAAATCTTGCCATTTGCAATGACATTGACAGAGCTAGAATGTATTATGCTAGGTGAAATAAGTCAGTCACAGAAAGACAGATACCATATCATCTCACTCCTATGTGGAATTTAAGAAAGAAAACATGAATGTATGGAAAGGGGGAAAAGAGAAAAAGGAGAGAGGGAAACAAGCCATAAGAGACTCAATGATAGAGAACAAACGGAGGGTTAATTGAGGGAGGTGGGGGGCAAACGAAATGGGTGATGGGTATTAAGGAGGGCACTTGTTATGATGAGCACTGGGTGTTGTATGTAAGTGATGAATCACTGATTTCTACTCTAGAAACCAATATTGCACTGTATGTTAACTACCTAAAATTTTTTTAAAAAGAATATTTTTTTTTTTTAAAGATTTTATTTATTTATTTTAGAGAGGGAGAGAGCAGGAGCAGGGGGGTGTGGCAGAGGGAGAAGCAGACTCCCCGCTGAGCAGGGAGCCCGATGTAGGGCTCCATCCCAGGACCCTGAGATCATGACCTGAGCTGAAGGCTGACGCTTAACTGACCGAGCCTCCTAGGCTTCCCCCCAAAAGAATATTTCTGATGCAGGCAGAAGCAGGGAGAAACACCGCAGTGTAGTAGCACATCATAAAAATGAAGTGAATAATGGTCACACGGTGTTCCTAAAATTCTAGTAGTCTTTCACCCAGAATTAAGCACAGTGTTCAAACAGGTAAATTTTCAGTGCTCAGCAGGGGCCCCTGTTAGGGAAGAAGATATTAACTGTGGTCCAGGCAGGAGTTCTGATAGCCATGTCTGCATTTTTGGATTGGTTTGCCTGGAAGCAAAGACTGTCAGCTTTTGCAGGGGGAATCTGAAGCGTGTAACTCTACATAGCCTGCTACTACAAAGTAGCAATAGCCACTAACTAGTATGGCCTATCATGGCCTCAGGCAGGATGTGTAAAGCACACTCCCACCATGTTCACCCTCACCCTGCTGCTAGCCATGGAGTTGGCTCTGTGGTAGACCTATTTTCAGGTGTCTATAGCCTGTTTGTCATTTGCCAAGATGACATGAGACCCCTGAAAATGGAACTGCCCATTCGTATTCCTTGCTAGTCAAGGAACTGTCTAGTCAGGTGAAAACAGAATGTACTTTTTTATGTTCTTCAACTTTCCATTTTCTCCCAAATGTCGCCTTTATTTCTTTATTTCACTGTCCTCTATTTAAATAATGATCAGTGCATATTGGCCCACATTTTGGTTGTTGTGTTTGGTTTGGATCTTCACATATTCAAGTAGGAAATTATGCAGAAGAACACATAGAGAGGAAATGAAGGGTCTGGAAAACAGGTAACGATGAGTGATTCAAGAGAAGATTGCACATGATATGTCTTAATATGCTTTGAAAGATACTATCAATGGTGTTTATTAGCATTTTATTAGCATTTCCTGGTTCGAAAAATATAGATGCCTGGGCCCTCCTCTGAGAATATCTGTTTTAGTTGAGCTGAGGCAAGGATCAGCTGTGTGTGTGTGTGTGTGTGTGTGTGGTGTATTTCTTCCCTTCCAGAATCTCCCTAGATCATTCTGGTGTAGCCAAGAATTAAAACTAGTCTATTACATATTTTCTGTTTAGCTTGAGAAAGCAGAATTAGTAGCACTGGGGGAAAGGTACAGAATAGAAAGTTTCAGCTCATCATCATGGAAAATATTCTGGTAAATAGAACTTTCTCTTTCTAGAGATATTCAAGTATACATGAGTTAACCACTTGTGAAGGACGCTGTGAAAATGCCTGCTTGGGATAACATGGAGGACTTCGTCATTCCTTAATTTTATTTAAAAAAGAAAGTTCTGCAGTGCTTCTGCAGATTTGGCATGTGATGTGCTAAGATCAGTTTTAGGCAGAATGAGTTTGAGGTATCTTCGTGGAGATGTTAGTTGACCATATGGCTCTGGAGCTCACAAGAAAAACCTGACTAGGAGGACATCAGTGGAAAGGTGGTAGTGGAAATCACCATCTCTAAACTGTTTTCCATTCATTTGACCCATTTTTTATAAGCTTACCATGTATTAATAGTGATGAAAAGATATTATAGTTCCTGAGCTCATGGAATTTACAGACAAGGAAACTTAAAGCTGAAGAATCTTTTTTTTTTTTAAGATTTATTTATTTTAGAGAAAGTGCAAGTGGGGGGGGCGGGGGGTGGAGGGGCAGAGGGGGAGAGACTCCTCAAGCAGACTCCCTGCTGAGTGCAGAGACTGACGCAGGGCTCAGTCCCACGACCTTGAGATCATGACCTGAGCCAAAATCGAGAGTTGAACATTGAACCAACTGAGCCATCCAGCCCGAAAACTGAAGTCTTTACACAATCAACAGGCAACTTCTTAAAGTGTTCTGTGTCAGCTAGATTGTTTCAGTAGAGCCCATGATTGCAACTGGATTGTAAATTCCTCAGAAAAGTCCTTTGTGGTACTTCTAACTTGTATGACAACATTTGCAGACATTGAGGTTGATGAAAAAGGGAAATTTTGGTAGTGATTTCTCAGCCCAGAAAGTAAAATTGGGGAAAGATTTCTAAGATCTCTTTTATATTTGTCTTTTTCTCTTTTGCTGTCCTTTCCCTTTATCTCTTAATTTTTCTTGCTTTTGTAACATTATTATTAGTGTCAGTTCTTGAATAGAGCTATTTCTTGATATACAATTATTCCTTAGTACCTGATTTTAAAATTTGGTTATGTACTCTCAAGGACTTACTAAAAATATGATACTAATGTAACTTAACCACAGATATCGAGAGGCAATTCAAAAATGGGATGAAGCACTGCAGTTAACCCCAGATGATGCCACCCTGTATGAGATGAAATCACAGGTAATGATTATGAAGAATTTCATTTGCATTATGAAATCTCACTGGGTTGTGTTCATATGTGTTTGGTGAACAATAATGAACCAAAATGGCATTTCTTTCCATTTTCTTTATTGAATATGTCTTTTTCAAATTTGTCAACGTTTCCTTTCCAAAATATGTTACCGTATTATTATTATTGGTGGGCCCTGGGTGAAATATCACCGTATTATTTATGACTCTGCCTTTTGCATGACTTTAGAAATTCATTTATTTTCACAATGAAGTTAACTTATTTTAACCTATGGTAAGATATGAAAAGAAGGCTATCTTTTAGGAAGTCACTGGTGATTTCTTAAATAAATGAAATGTGTTTGCTTTCCTTGGAAATTAATTGTAGTGGACTGAGCAATAGCTTTATTTCTTCAGAATGAGGATGGTTGGACTCTGAATGATGATATTTCTCTAAAAATGGCCCAGTCCTTAGCAAAAGGTCAGAATAGACTCAAATTTTTAATAGTTTAAAAATAACATTTGAATTTTAAAAATACATTTGTATTATTTTGTGGGAAAGTCTATAAAGAAAATCTCTGAGCACTTGGATTAAGTTATCCAAAAGACTTAAAATCGCTAATGGAATATCAAACATATTTTGGCAGGGAATAGTTACAATTCAGCCTTGATCTACACACCTTACTGATATCTTTCAGATCATGATCTCAAACATAGGGGACATTCTTTATCAGCTTTGATTTTAGTTTAGCCAAGAAAACCCCAAATAAATTATGTCTGCTGAATGAAGTGCTGTTGAGGACCTTCATTTGGCTAAGTCTTTAACTTTCAGTCTTGACTACGTATATATTAAAGACAGTGTTTGTGGTAAACTATATGAAATAAATTAATTTGCAACCTGATAACGATAGTTGTGTTACAGATCTTGTGAAACGTAAATGGTCCCAAAGATGATAGATAAAATCTAGCCCTTTCCCATAGACTGAAGCGGTAGGTTCTGGCACTCCCTATTTTTCTCTTTGTATGGTTTGAAGAACACAGTTGTGGGGAGGCCTGTGGAGTGTTTAAATGATTTTTGTAGCAGGAAGATGTTCATAGGATGGGTGGTTGAGCAAAAAAACACCTGGGGTCCCCTGAAAACCACATTGTAAATAGAATAATAAGAAGTGGAATTAAGAGTTCAAATATCTGTGAGCCACCATGGCTAGATCATGACCACCTTATTTTAACCAGATAGACAGCAGTGTTCAATAACTGAAAAGGGGATAGTTTATATTTTCATAGTTATTTTAGAAATAGGAAGAAGAATAGTCGTTCCTGACCCTGCATGGCAAAGGAGTGGGTCAGAACCACTGAGATGCTATAATTACCAGACTAAAAATATTTTTTTAAAAATGAAAAAGCTTACATATGGTTATCCATTAGTAGTTTGCTAGTTTATAAATATTACTGACAGGTTTTGTTTCTTTTTTTTTGGCTATAGGTCCTAATGTCTCTTCATGAAATGTTCCCAGCAGTACATGCAGCTGAAATGGCTGTCCAGAGAAATCCACATTCATGGGAGTCTTGGCAAACTTTGGGCCGTGCTCAGCTTGGATTAGGAGAGATAGTCCTGGTAAGGAAGTTAGACTGTTATAATGACGAAATTTTATTCTGACATGTTTTTGATTAGCTGAACCAAAAAGTAAATAGCCATTTATCATATCTATGCAAAAAGTAAATAGCAAATTACCTCTTAAAAGTATTAAGCCATAGGGGCGCCTGGGTGGCTCAGATGGTTAATTGTCTGCCTTCGGCTCAGGTCATG